GCAGAAGTGAAGGAGAAGGGCAATGGGAAAGATCATCCAGCTCCAAGCCCAGAACTGCTGGCAAGTTGGGAACTTGGGGGAGGAGAAGACCTTCAACCCAGCAGTTGAGGGCAGACGAACAATGGGGAGATGTTAGGGGGTCTGGTTGTACCCACCCTCAGGCTTCCACGGGCACCCAGTGACACCAGCTCCTCTTCATCCGAGGCCTGGGGGAAAAAGTCAAGTCTAAAACCAGAAGGGAAGGATGAGGAGAAGACACTTGACAGGCCGGGGTGGAGGGGCAGGTGGGAGAGAAGGGGAGGCAAGACCCTGCAGGAGGATGGGCCTTCAAACAGAAGGACATTGAGCCCCAGTGAGTGGTTCCAGTCACCCCCCCCTTGTCCCCAGAACCACCATCAAGGTTTCTCACAAGTTCCCTGGGTCCTCCCTGCTCTGTGACAAGGTAGAAGGTTCCTGGTTTATGGAATCAAATCCAAACAAGACCCAGGAAGGGTTGGGTGGTCCCCCCTTCCACACCTCCCACAGCTCCTGGGAGGCTGGGCAGAGGGCTGAGGGGGCAGGGGGTGGGGGTTGGGGTTGGGTTTGGTCCTGTCCCCAAAGCAGTGTCCTCTGCAGGTGTTTGTGTGTCATGGCTGGGGCAGAAGACCAAAGCAGGAGGAGATACCAACCGAGGGGTTCCTGCGGGCCCGGCGGGAACAACGCTCACTGTCCTCCTGGGCAGCAGAGACAGAGGGAGATGGTGTTGGAAGGACAGAGAGGAGAGACAGACAGAGTCTCAGACCAAACCATGGCAGGTGACCTCCTTGTGGGGGCAGAAAAGCCCCTTTTCCCCCCTCATTCCTTTCTCCCCACCCCTGTGTGAGGGCTCCTTGCACCAGGAGGGGCTTCAGGGGCTCAAGGTGAGTCATCCCCAAGGTGGCTCCTCACCAAACCCCCATCACCTTGAAGCCACCTGGCAAGAACCCTTGTGGTGACAGTGGAATTTCCATCTCCACGACATCCCACCCTCTGGGGACTCTCCAAAACCCCAGCCCATGGCAGCCGTGGAGCGACGCTGGCTGGAGGCCTACCATCCATTGCTCGATGTCTCCCCACTTAGAATCCAGACCATAATACTTCTAGGGACAGAAAAGGGAAGAAAAGGAGAAGAAAAGAAAACTTTAGGTGAGGAAGGCAACCAGAGGAGGTCTCAGACATGCAGGGCCAAGCTCCACAGCTCCACACACACCAACGTGAAGGCCAAGTGCCACCAGAGCCACCAGTGTCACCTGCCCGGGAAGGGGGAGCAGGATTTGGGATCCACCTGGGGTCCCTCAGCACCTTGTTCCTCCTCAGGAGCAGAGAAGGGAATGGGAGCAGGAGGAGCAACCAGGCTTGAGTTCCTTGACCCACTTTGGTCAAGTCTCACCACCAGGGCTGGGGAGGCAGGATGAAAAGGTCTGTCAGGTCGTGGTAGGTCTGGTTGTTCATCCAACTGCAAAGTCAAACGGGAGAGGACACAAGTGATCCCCGTCTGCTCCCGTTTGCTGCTCCCACAGCTCCTCTGCAGGGCTCTGGTAGTCCCACCAAGACGGCCAGAAGAAGACACACGTCATGACTGGAGAGCTCTCTGCTTTTCACCACCAAACCCCAACCTGTCCTTAGTCAGCTCTCCCTCCTGACCTTCTTCCCAGTCCAGCACTTCTTGGCACCACACTGGGAATTCCCCAAGGAACCTCCAGTTCCACCAGACACATCCCCTGAACCCACAGGACTCCTCGTCCTCCCCAAACAGGCACTTCAGACCTTGCCCTTGTCCTGCTGCCCATCGTGGGCCCGGGTGGGAAAGACCACGGCCAAGTGGGCTCCTCCAGGAACCACCACATGTCTTGTGGGATTTTTAGAACTTGAGGAAAGAAAATCAAGTCCAAGAGCTCGTGTTTGGGGGAACCTGCAGGTCTGAGAACACTGGAACCACCACCAAGGTTGGAAAAAAAAACTTCAAGATCATCGAGTCAAACCCAAGATCAGGTGAGATGGAGCCCACGAGGCTTTTTTTTTTGGCCCTCAGAGGGACATCTGGGGGGTTTTTGACATTAGAAAATGATTTAAAATATTAGAAATCTAGTAAAAATATTAAAATAGGTTAAAATAGTAAAAATCAATTTAAAATTAAAATAAATTAAAAATAAAATATTTTTTTAAAATCAATTAAAATTAAAAATCAAATTAAAAACAAGTAAAAATATTTATTAAAATAAAAATCTATTAAAATAAACAATTATTAGAATATTAAGAATCAATTAAAGTCAAACAAATATATTAGAAATGAAAAATATTAAAAATCAATTAAAATCAATAAAAATATAAATCAATTAAAAATATTATAAACCAATTAATAAACCATATTTAGAACTGTGGAACTGAAGTGTCTTTTCTGAAGGTGGAGGGATGGTGGATGAAGATGCTGGACAATCCAAGGCTGCTTCCTTCTCCTGCCCTGCCCTCCCTCACCTTCTCCTGGGCTCAGCCGTGTCCTGCTCTGCCTGGAGAGTCCCATGGAAGGTCCACAGGGACATCCTGCCTCTCCAGCCACCTGGGGCTCCTGATTGCCAGGCTCAAGTTGCCTTGGAAAGTGAGATGACAATGAAATAATTCAGGCCATGGAGAGAGAATCCCAGCTCAGATCTCCTCTCCAAGGGAGGGTGGCCTGGCTGTGGGATGTGGTGAGGTTCACCCACTTGTCTCCTCCTCCACGTCCAGGTTCCCATTAAGCCATCTCCTCCCCCCTCAATGGGGCTGCAAATGGAATCAATTCCCATCCAGGAATGGATGTCCAGGATGGACAAGAATCCATGATGCCAACTGGAGTCGCTCCAATTGGGTCCATCAAGACAGGGAGAAGGTGGGTTTGTGGGCAGGGTGGTGGGATCAGGATGGAAGAGCAGAGCCCATGATTGGCTCTCAATGAGCAATTCCAATGAGCAATTCCAGAAGGAACCAGCATTTCCAGGAGGAGAACATTTCCCAGGAGGACACAAGGTGCTGGGCCAGGGGAAGGAGCCGTGCAGGACACAAGCAGGAGGGTTGAGGACAAACTTCTCACTCAGCAAGGAAGGAAAATTCCTCAGGGGAGGGGAAAAAAAGGGAATAATCAGGTGGAAAACTACAGGCTTGAGGGATGAGATGTTCCCTCCATCCCTGAAAAACCTCCTTGGAGATATTTCTCCTTCTGGATCCCACCACTTCACCTGCTGGGAGGCAGGACAGAGCCCCAGAGCTCACAGGGAGTAACATCTATAATTAGTATTATTATTAATTAGTATTATCATTATTCTTATCATCTTTGCCTTTGTTTGGAGCGATGGGAAAGAGAACTGGGAGGAGGGAAAACTTGACTGTGAGGTAGGACTTGGATTTGAGGGAGAGAAAAACATTCCCATCAAAAGGCCCTCAAGTCAATTTGCAAATAAGGAGGAATTCCAACAGGTTATTCCCTGATTTTCCCCAGGGATTTTCTGCCAACCAAGTCAGCTGGAAGTTCTGCTGGAACTTCTTGAGATCTGCCCAGCCTCAACCCACCACCATTCCCAACCTCAAGCCCCACCACCATTCCCAACCTCAGGCCCCACCACCATTCCCAGCCTGAAAACCCTTCATGTCCCCCAGAAGGTTCTTCATGGAGCCTCCACCCCCTCCATGGTGGCACCTTTCCCAAATTTCCCTCCTGCTCTTTTTCCTCTTCCTTTCCCAGTAGGAAAGAAATGACCCCAAGTGTCTAGGCAGGTTTGAATCCTCTGGGAAGGTGGGAACACACCCATGCCAAGAGGGATGTGGGGAACAATTCCTACCTTCTGGACTTGGTAGATCTAAGGCAGGGGGGTGGAAACAAGGAAGAAAGAAGGAAACAAAAAGCTGAGGTGAATGAATGACCCAATCCCAACATTCCACAGTTCATCCCGAAGGGAAGAAGCTCCTGATCCACACAGGAAGGACAGGAAACCATCAGCACCACAAGTGGAGAACCCAAAGGAACATCCAATATTCCCCTTGGAAAGCAGCTGGTGGGCAGATTTGGACAGGCTGGAGGGCTGGGCAAAGGGACCCCATGAGGTTCAACAAGTGCAGAGGAACTGGGGAGGAACAACCAAAGGCACCAGGGCAGGCCAGGAGGTGACCTGCTAGAGAGCAGCTCTGTGGAGAGGGACCTTGGAGTCCTGGTGGACAATAAGTTCTCCAGGGACAAATATGTGCCCTGGTGGCCAAGAAGGCCAGTGGTGTCCTGGGGTGCATCAGGAGTGTGTCCAGCAGATGGAGGGAGGTTCTCCTGCCCCTGGTGAGACCTCACTTGGAGTGCTGTGTCCAGTTCTGGGCTCCCCAGTTCCAGAGGGACAGGGATCTACTGGGGAGAGTCCAGTGCAGGATACAAGGATGACTAAGGGACTTCTCCTCCAACCATTCCAGCACAAGAGTGTCCTGCTTCACAAGAGGCTTCCAAGAGATTTCTTAAGAGGCATCTTGGATTTCACTCCCAAGTTCACTAAATCATCCAGCTCCAACCCCCCTGCATGGGCAGGGACACCTCCCACCAGCCCAGGTTGCTCCAAGCCCCATCCAACCTGCCCTTCAACACTGCCAGGGATGGAGCAGCCACAACTTCACAACCTGTTCCGGTGTCTTACCATCCTCACAGGGAAGAGTTTCCTCCTCATGTCCAACCTCCATCTCTCCTCTTCCAGTTTTAATCCCTTCTCCCTTGTCCTCTCACCATAAACCCTTGTCCAAAGCCCCTCCCCAGCTTTCCTGGAGCCCCTTCAGGCACTCAAAGGTGCTCCAAGGTCTCCTCAGATCCTTCTCCTCTCCAGGCTGAACACCCCAACTCTCTCAGAGCGTCCAGCCCTCAGATTCTCTCCATGGCCTCCTCTCTCTTTCCAAACGCTCCACATCCTCCCTGTGTTGGTGCCTCCAGACCTGGTCCCAGCAGATCTCCAGAACTGGACACAGAAGATCTCCCTATAAGCCCTCCCCATTTACCCCTGAGCTTTACCCACACAGTTGTGACCAGCCCTTGATGCTCCCTCCACACACCACTACCAAATCAGCACCAGATGTTTAACGATCTCCCTAATGAAGCTGCTGCTCCTTCCACCTGGAGAAACACTCCTCAGAGAAGAACCACCCTGGACACCTGCTGCTTTTGCACCGCAGCTTCTCTTCGGATGGCAACAGAACATTGGTCACATCCCACCCAGGACTCACCATGAGGTGTCAAACAAGGAAAATGAGACACAGGGGCAGGGAAGGAGACAATTCCCAGGCCCAACCCAAAGATCCCAACCCCCCCTTCCTGGCCATGTCTGCAGCTTGGAAGCTGAACCAAGACATTCCCAAGCCACCCATGCTCCACAAGAAGTCTGTCAGGACATGCAGGCTCTTCTCAGCCTGAGTAAGTCCCCACACACAGGGCCAAGAAATGGATTCCTTGCTTTTTAGCTCCTCCACCTGGTTCTAGAGAGCCTTGGGAAGCAGGAGAACAAGTGTCCCAATTGTTCACCTGTGGGAATGTGGGAATTGATGTAGTGGAGGAAAAGGACCACGGTGACGACGAGACACCAGGACCTCAATGTCTTCAGCTGCCGCCTGCACGAGAGGCACTCAAGGTTTAGTTTTCCAAACCCAAGGTTTGGTTTCCCAGCCCAAATTCCACTTCCCTAGGACACCCCCTGCAGTACCAGCTGCTGATCTCCATGGGGGTGACCAGCTGCACCACAGCAGGTGGTGCTGCCATGAAACACCTTGGGTGATCATCACAGCTCTTCCAAAGCCTCTCCCCCCAAACCGCTTCATTCTCCTCCCCTTCCCAATCCCAGACTGGTTTGCCTTGGAAGGAACCTTCAAGACCCACCTAGTTCCAACCCCCTGTGCTTAAACCAAACACAGAGAAGATGATCATCTCCCAAGCTCAGGTTCTACCATGACTCCTGCCATTTTTCCAACCACCATTTCTCCAACCACTTTTAGAGGCAACCAAAACACCTTCCAGGAGTCACAACCAGGGCCATGAACCCTCCACACTCATTAGACTCCTTACCAAGTGCTAAGAACCCACCACCAGACACACCACCGAGCTGCGAACATCCAAGTTTATCATCAAAGAGGAATTATTAACTAACCAACAACCTTTCCTGGGAATAACCAAACTGGCATCCCCAGGATCAAACTCCCACCAGATTCTCCTGGGTGGCTTCATTCCCACCATCACCTCCCAGCAGGTGATTTGTTTCTCAACCCAGGAAAGATGATGATCCAAAGACCTCCCAAGGCAAAAGAAGCCACGTCCTTACCTCCTTCTGCTGCCTCTCCAGCTCCTTCATCCGGATCTCCCGCGCCTCCGCCCGCGCCGCCCGCTTGGCTGCCAGGCGCGCCTCGGCCTGGGGAGGGGACAGAAGGGACAACAATGGCACCAAACCCACCCAATTCCAGGAGGAACACACACGAGGAAGAAGTCAACACGTCTGGAGGAGTCAACACGTCTGGAGGAGTCAATTCCTGCCCTGCCCTCCACGCCTTGTTGTGCTCCACGGGCAGGTCCCACGCCCACGCGCCAGCACCACCCACGTTGGGTGGTGGTGAAAAGTCTTTCTTGAATTGCCACCTGTGTGGACAGCCAGGAAACTACCACCTCTACTGAGGAAGCTTGTAGTTTGCTCTCCTACCCACCCCTCCCTCTGGCACACATGGATTGTTCAGGTGACCAACACGTGATGGGCACATTCTCCTCCCCACTGAGCACAGACACAGGTCAATATCCCGCTGTCCCAACTGGGATCTGCACAGTCCAGGCTGGAATGATGGAGGGAGAACCTGAGGAAACACACCTCAAGTCCCTCAAAACCTCCAGACATCCATGTCCAAGATTCTCCAGAGCAGGAACCTCATTCAGCCCAGCTGGATGTGCCAGATTTTATATGAAATATTCTCCTTTTAATCCCAGGTCAAACCAGTTCGGCCTCCAAAAGACAATTAGCTCAGGATTAGAACGCTGGGCTGGAAGGAGAGAAATTCAGAACATCTCAGCAGGGAGGGCAACCAGAGGGAGCTGGAGAGGCTGGAAGGTGGGGCCATGCCTTGACCTCATGGAGATCAGCCAGGCCAAGGTCCTGGCCCTGGGTCAGGACACAAATCCAGGCTGGGGGAGGGTGGATGGAGAACAGCCCTAAAGAGAAGGGCCTGGGGGGATGGTGGGTAAGAAGCTCAAGAGGAACCAAGCCAGGAACCCCTGTGTCCTGGGCAGCATGAAAAGAAGCATGGGCAGCAGGGCCAGGGAGGGGACTGTCCCCTCTGCTCTGCTCTGCTCTGGTGGGACCCTCCTGGGGAACTGGGGCCAGGTCTGGAGCCCCCAGCACCAGAAAGACACGGAGCTGGTGGAGTGAGGAGGCCACGGAGATGATCCGAGGGCTGGAGCAGCTCTGAGAGAGTTGGGGTGTTCAGCCTGGAGAGGAGAAGGATCTGAGGAGACCTTGGAGCACCTTTGAGTGCCTGAAGGGGCTCCAGGAAAGCTGGGGAGG